TGTTAATGAAGACATTAAAATTTAGAAAGATTATATGCAACATCTTAGCAATGTGTACTATCTTTCATGCAACTCTTGAACCTGTTCAGATTGGGGTCTTAAAGAGAAGGTATTATCCTGCATGCATACACTCCTCAATAGAAATTTGGATACAAGAAATGGAAGGGGTACGAAAAATACAATATTCTCTTGTAGAAGGGAATAGCTAACATCTCTTTTGATGTTAAATTTGGTAACTTGTTTAATATCATCTGAGATATTCATGTTAATATGCCTACTGTCAATTGTTCTTTTTAAAATCTTCAAGTTGTAAAAAAGGGCTCCTATAACGTGGTGTCTGCTCTGCTCAAACACACCACCAGCCTTGACCAGCCCTGTGTCAACAACTGTCGGCCATGCATGAGGCAGCCAAACAAGGCTATGAAGACCTACGCCTGGCTGGTATTGCTCAGTGGTTGAGCATCAACCTATGAACAAGGAGGTCACGGTTGGATTCCCAGTTGGGACACATACCCATGTTGCAAGCTCCATCCCCAGGAGGGGGTGTGCAGGAGGCAGCTGATCAATGATTTTCTCTCATCACTGATGTCTCTCATGCTCTTCCTCTCCTTTCCCCTCTGAAATAAATAAATATATATGTAATATATGTACATATATATATTTTTAAAAGATCTCATAGCTCTGCTGGCAATGTTGCCTGAGACAGTTTGGAGTCACACCATTAGGTGCTACTGCTGGGTATGGTCTCTGTGATGTGCTGAACACCTAATCCTCAAAGACGGTGATGTGTCTGCTTTGGCGAATGATGGGACATTACTGCTGTTTGAGGCAGCAGGAGGGAGCAATCCTGACTGCATTGCTCTCCCGCCGGGATATGGAGGAAGCAAACATGTACCTAACAGAGAAGGACATCTTCCTTTACACCGAGCTGCCTGTGAGGGACATTATCTTGCACTGAAATATCTTATCCCAATAACATCCAAGCATGCAATCTAGAAATGTGTGCTAACACCAATTCACTCAACAGCAGATGGGCAAAAGCACAGTGCCTAGAACGGCTCATTGGGAGTGGTTTTGTCATCAATAACCTGCTTGCTGACCACATTTCCAAGAGCTATGACAACGAGAGGAGGACTGCGCTGGATTTTGCTGTTCCTAATACTGATATCCATTGCACAGAAGTCCTGAATACAGTGCCTGCCATTCAGCATGCCCTAAACGATGAGGTGATGCTGAGGCTGTTGCTGAATGATGGCTGTCGAGTGGAGCTGCGCTTTGAGTGCATGTGTGGGGACATATTTGGGAATCGTTTATGTGGTCAGAGATAGAAGAAGGAGTACTGCCGGGATGGACATCTTGTGTAATACAGGATAACCTGTCCGTTATTAGATGACATGGATTATATGCTTCTGTGTGCTAAGCTGCAGTCTGCACTGGAAGTACAGAGAGAATGGCCAAAAATCCAGCCAATACTAGGTAAAAACACATTTTGCCTAAAGTTTTTTAATGAAAAATGTCTGTAGGGGAAATTTTTAATGCCATCTTTGATACCTTTTCAGTGCTACTTTATTTTCAGAATTATGTTTTTGAAAATCATCCTTAATATTTCCTCTGGTTTAAGATACTAATTTCTTGCTTTTCTTGATACTTTCCATCTCTTTAATTATATAAGGGGTAATATTATAACTACATTAACATTCTAATTAGAACACCTTTTTTAAAATTGACTTCTATAATATCATAAAGTATGTAAACTGTAATCTCCATATGGGCAGGGATGTTTTGTATATTTTTATATTCTCAAGGCTTAGCATAATTTCTATAAGTGGTAAAAACAATAAATACTCAGTAAATAAAAAAAACTAACAAGTAGAACATACTAAATGTACATGATTATTAACTACATTTGCCAATACTTATATTATTTAAAGCAACAGAATTGGGTAAAAAATCCAATCCCTGTATCTATTAGTAAATTATTTAATGATTGTTAAGTATAAACTTCACCAAATAAATTCTAGGTAGATCTATGTATATTAGAAGTCATGTAAAAAACTTATTGAATGAAGCAGCTGAAGTATAGTAAACTTGAGCTAGGTGATCTATTTCTCCACGAAGCATAAGGGAAGCCATTGGAGACTAGAGAAAAATATAGAGAGACTAGCAGCTTTGTTAATATTAATGCCATTGTAAACCAGGGCTGGACACATTGTGATTTTATACCAATTCATGTGAGAACACTCAAACTGCCCATGACCTAACACATAAAAGACTGTGTGGCCATAATCTAAATTACTTCACACTTCCTGGCTGGAAGTGTTGTCCTAACTAAAGTCTTCATCGTTAGCTTTCAGAATTAATAAGCCCTTTTGGTTGAAACGTATCTTCAACTAATTGCTTGTACAGAAGTGTCTTGAAAAAGCCTGATGAAGTATAGTTATAATTAGCTACCATACTTAGAGAAAAATACCTCTAAACATTAGCAAAAATTTACTGATGTTCATTCTCACAGAAGTTTTAACTTCATCATTTTACTGAATGTTATGTAGCTTATGTTCTCTACCATTATTACTATTAAAAGTAAACTTTGTTTTCTTCTGTTAAGGAGATTAATACATAAACTAGAAATTTAAATATAGCTATCTCATGTTAACCACAAATATTCTTAATACAACTCTTAAGCAAAATAGTATTTTTTTTATAATGGAACAATTAACTTAGTATTTTTAAACTGTAAGTCTTGGTTACAAAGTACCAAAAGCACTTTAACTGAATGCCTACTGTTTGGGGAATATGAACTCAGTCAATTTCTGCTTACAGTCTTCAGCCCATAAAGATTTTTTGTTTAAGGAAAAGAACAACAACAAATATAATTGTTCAAGAGGTGTAATATATAATATCTACGTAAAACTCATCTCCAGAAGTCCAATTAAGGACTTTGCTTAGTAAAATATCCTTTAAAATACATATTGCTTCAAATGTAATGTTTATAAGGAACTACTTCATCCAATAACGCTGAGTAGGAAAGTTTAAAAAGAATAAAAAGAATTACTAATCTCATTATTTTAGTGTAACAGAATCAGCAAAAAAAAAAAAAAATCATTCCAAAACTGAGATTAAAAACCATGTATTTTTTAGATACTCAGTAAAACACATTAGATACTTGCTTACCACTGTAACAATAGATTTCTGTGTTTCCTAATAAATTGGTAATTTTAAAGTAATGACTTTTCTAATTCTAAAGACTTAATTTTCCAAAATAAGGTTTAAAATAAAAATTGATGAAATGTTTACATTTGTTTATCCTAATCTGATATAAACTTGTAAATGACAGCAAATATATATATGAACATACACAAATGAAGCAAACTAGTCATCATTTTGTATGAACTATATGTGTTATCATAAACAGGAACACATTAATTTTCATAAACTATAACAGCCTTGCACATACACTCCCCTAAGCCTGTACCTCTGACAGGTTCAGAATTTGGCCATACAATTTACTTGTGGGCCAGTAAGTCTCTAGAGCCAGTATAATTACACCAATTAGCCAAAAGAGGGCGCAGAGAGAGCACTAGAGTTCAGGCACTCCCTAGGAAACTACCCGCTGGTTTGTCTCAAGTTGTCTAACAAGGACTAAACCCACAGTTAGGCCTGCTAATTTGAGAATACTGAAAATTAAAGCACATGTATATATAGATATACATTAATACAGAATCTTATATAAATATATTGATACGTAGCATTTCTATCATTCAAACAAAATAAATATCTGCCTTGCCTAGTGTGTTAGTTTGTATCCCAGTACCAGGGGAATCAGGTACAGAGGGATCGGATCAGCGAGGGTATAAAGAGGAAAGAGAATGTGCCCTAGAAATGGTAAATCTAAGAAAAACAAAACCTCTTAGAGTGGGAAAGGGACCACCTCTGGTTCTCATTACTGAGGCAGCAGTTGGCTCTGAATACCTCCCAGGTACCTTTCAAGGTAACTAGTACTCCTATATGAAGTGTAACTGTGCCTTTAAGGGATATAACGCTCTTTAAGGGATCTTCACTTCACACTTCACTGTTTTCTCAAGGTCCAGTTATAGGCAGAGCAATCAATTGATATCTATCTGTATTACCTATATATTACTTCCTTAAAACAGTTCCCCCATCAGGCCAAATTTGGTCAATATGTTAGCTTGCACAAACCCCAACCCATTTCCATGACACGAACATACTAATTTTGTGGTTCATTAAGCTCTACAAATAAATTTCTTATATTAAATTTACTATGCATTTTATCAGCACCAATACATATTTTCATCTGCCACTTCTATACTTTTAAATAATAAAGCATTATAATCAGAACATGTAAGACATGGCACTTATATTTCTGAGAACAGCTAATTCTATTATTTTAGAAGATAGTTTCTGAAAGAACTAACCACAGTATAGTTAACTGGCTGATATGGCAACTTTCTGTTTCATGATTTCTCAGGTATGATTCCCTACTATCAAAGCTAAGTAAAAGGAAACTACTGATATGTTCCAAGAACAGTAGACCCCTTCAATCTTCTCTAAGATTCAAGAGAAAGACTGTGAGTACATAAATTTTCAAAAAAGATATATGGATTTTGCAGTATTCTAATGGAGAAAATTTTAAAGCTGAATTTTTTTCTAAGTATGCTAAAGTTCTTTTTATACAAATGTTCTATGCTTTCTAAGAGACCATCACTGTTAGCAATTTAAATTTGTGTAAGGCTAATGATAAATGTAGATCATTATATTTTCTTATTTTAAGGCTATTTCCTAACATTAGCTACAAAAAAAGGTCTTTCAATCCAAATTATAGTTGGCCCATTAAAATTTAAATTCAATTTGGCTGATTGATTGTAGGTACACAAAAGTTATTTACTTTTACTAGTAATTTCCTATAGTTTTGTTTCAGGAATAGTTGGCCAATATTTATTATATATAACTCTTCATTGTGTAATTTTAGATCTACTAGTAGGTAAATAAAAGCAAAAAGTATATATATTTTTCAAAAGCACAATATTCCTCTTTATACTGTACATTATATATTTTCTAGTTATATTAGCATTTTAAAAACACACATTCTGGTATAACTGCACTAGAAAAGATATCTGTGGAATTATTGCAAATTCTCTATCCATTTGCTCACCAAAATCTTAGGGTAAAATAGGAATACATGCCCACTTAGTCAAAGTTTTCTCCTCGGAACAAATATATTAACAACAATCAATGCTTACAACAGTACGGGGGAAAGAAACAGAAAAATTAACATGGAAAAACATTTCATCTTTCCTTTAACATAAGGTAGATAGTTGGTGCTTTATTTTAGTGGTATTTTGTTTTTGGTGAAGAGAAAACATTAGAAAGCTACTAAGAAAACACTGCCCTTTTTTTTGTTGTTCAATCCCATGCTGCATTAAAAAAAATCTTGCAGCATATATAAAAGTATTAACATATTTTAAACTGTACTTGAAAAAGAAATTTCACATATAAGGTGTAAAACCTTTTGTAAAAGCTGAAGAATTAAATTCAGATTTGATTAGTACTGCTCAAGAGTGAAAATTTTAAATAAACATCTGAAAATTCCCATAAATTAAAATCTGTAATATTGTCAGTGCTAAAAGAAATTATGTACAATTATTTCATCCCAATCACTGCCTTTTGAGTTTAATAACAAAAGCACTTTAAGAAATCCCCGTGGAAAGCTAATTTGAAAGTAAACATGCTTTGAAACTTAAATATAGATCTTGTGTTAGTCCCACAACAGGATCAAGATCACTATTAAAATGAAGCCTGGGGCACATTATGATGCCTAAGATTGGTGGGTGGATTTTAATTGACTTGAAGACTGTCATCGTTCTATTATCAGAAAACCTGTAACGCATTTCCAGCATGGAGGACCCATCTGTGCCCACCATCCATCTGTTTAGACGTGATTGGCAAAGTGGTAGGGAACTCGCAGTGGTTGCCTCTGCCTGAAAGGAATAAACCACAGGATCTTCCAACGAGTGCCAAAAACTTCTGAGAAGGTCTGCTGCCATGGCTTTCGGGGCCTCGATCTACAGAAGACAGCATTATTAGTGAAAGACAGCACTCCCATGGTGCACTTCAGTCAGCTAAAACAATACAGGTTGGCTGGGGATCCATTACAGGACTCTGATGAATTGTGTCCCAGCATCACAAATACAGCTTTCCTTTCATTATGGCATGCAGCTGAGTTTTAACTCTGGAGCGCAGATATTGTATCTGTGTCGTCAATCAACCTACGGCAACTTTTGAAGCGGAGGAGAATCTCAGGATTAACAGTATGTGTGTCAACAGCACAGTAGCAAATCTCTTTTGATGTACTTTCAGGACAAATAATTTAACTTACTTTAGTGAGACAAGTAACAAGAATGATAGTACTTATTTTATATGAAAACTAGCATAGCTATAAGACCCCAGATGTAAGACTGGGTTATGCCTGCCTCGCTCAGGCCTCAGACAAGGCTCCAAGAAAAAACTATCATTCTATTATCTTTCCACTACATGCATACATTTTTTTCAAATGTGGCCAGTTGTTTCCATTTTTAATAAGAACTCTATAGACTTCACTTTTATACTTACATTTCTTCACAACAGTTTGACATCTTTTCAATAGATGTTGTATCCTATTAAAAATTAAGAAAAATACTCAGAACAAAGTTATTAAGGCTTTATTCTATATTAATTTTTAATGTTTTAAAATCATATCCAGAGAATATTCTGAAGATTTAAACAGTTTATATATGAGTAATACGATTTCTAAATTATCTACAGACATTTCTTGAAATGTCTTGGAAATTCCTTGGGGGGAAAAAAACAGAATAAAAATTACATTGTACTCCCACTCCAAAAATATTATTCAATTACAAAACCTCACAAAAACTGTAGGAGTCTTGCTTCATTATGTAATATTTTTATTATACTTGCTTCCTTCACAATTCTTTTAAAAGTCCAGTATCTACTTTTAATTCAACTGCCAGTGAATATGCATTAAAAAATAAATACCCAAAATGACAAAGGCACTAATGCACAGAGAGCCAAAGAGTGCTGCTGGGCTTGTACTTCTGAGAAGACACAGATCCAACAAGGCCCCTGCACCTGCCATACCACAACACCCAGCTCTGAAGCTGAAGTGAGCTCCTCAGAGTCCTTTGGTGAAAAAACAACTTCCTTTTTCAAGAGAAAAATCAGCCTCTTCATAATAATACAATTTCTTATTATATGTTTTATATAAGGCTCTAATGTATAAGAAAAACAAGTCAACAAACAAAAGGTAGTTTCTATATATGCTGGTTCAACTCATGTTAACAGAAGATCTATTATTAGATTGAGAAACTGATTATCTCAATAATAATCAAAATAAAGTACATAATCTCAGTTTAGATAGTTACATTTTAAATATATTTTAAGGTAGTATAAAAGAAAATAACTTCTTTTAAATATACCAGAAACTTCCAGAAGTTATTCTCCTCTTCTCCTCTACTAGCTTGCTCACATACGGTAGGTGGACTGTACTGCTATTAAGCAGTACTATTCAGGCAAATAGTTATGGTTGCAACTGCAATCCCAAGAACTTTTTTGGTTGTAAAACTTTCCTCCAATGAAACTAATAAAAAGCACCTTCAATTTAAAAGACTCTTTATAGAAGTTACATAAATAGCTATAATATTAATTTCTTACACATGAACAGTAGAATGACTACAGTTAGCCCAAATGCAGAAAAAAATAATCTTTTTTAAGATGTCTAAGTAACCAATAACAGAATTTTATTTCCAGATTACCTAGGAATTTGGGACAAGACTGCAGATTAGCTACATACTAGTACTCTCTATTAATTGGTTTTCCTATTATGCTTTGAAATTCATGATATCCAATGACAATTCTACCTATAATGAACCTTTCATGGTTCTGTTGCATAATTTCCTCAAAATAATGTTTTACTTTGTGAAAACACAGTCTCCAAATACATGACAGCATTGATTAGGGACTTTAAGGAAAACTGAGCCTCTGTTTTCACATCTGTATAGAAAGTGACAAGTAATTTTAATGGTGTCTTAGAACTGAGGGGTGACAGGTTGTTCTAAAACAACTGAGATAGTTGTTTACAAATACAAAAAGATAAGACAGAAGTCAAGTGCTATTAGTTAAGTACATATAAATGGACTAAAATTTCAGTTGTGGATAATACTTAAAAAATGGAAACTATTTCAGGATAAAAAAGCAATTACAAGGTCAGCCTAATATTACAGGAAATTTTTACTATGTAGAAATTTACAACCTGATTACAAATTTGAGGAACTTATTTGTGGCTATAAAAGCATCAACTTTGCCTGGCCTACATGGCTCAGAGGTTGAGTGTCGACCTATGAACCAGGAGGTCATGGTTGGATTCCCAGTCAGGGCACATGCCCAGGTTGCGAGCTCAATCCCCAATGGGGGGCGTGGAGGAGGCAGCCAATCTGATTCTCTTTCATCACTGATGTTTCTATCTCTCTCTCCCTCTCTCTTCCTCCAAAAATATATTAAGAAAAAAAAAAGAATCAATGTTAAAGACTTTGGATTTAGACTTCATATGGGAAAAGCTTTCCTTTTCAAGTGCTTCTGACACCTTTCTAGAATCTGGTTCAAGAAAATAGTAGACTACTGCCTATTAAGTCATCATAAACAGATGGTTATTCTATCAGAGGATGGGACGTTTATCGTGACTTTATGAACACAATTTGTGAGGGTAGACATAAAGGCTATTTTTTCCTCTAGAAATAGCAAATGCTTACCTCTCTGAAACTCAGCTATCCTGAGTCATGTTATAAGAAAAAAGTACAATTTGTATGTGAACTAAACATGTCATAAAATTTTTGCACTGACATTTGCACACATACTCAGAGCAGCACAATTTATTACGCTATCATAGTCATAAGCACAACAGAAACAGCAAACTAGAAAAAGGAAGAAGTTACTACTGGCTGGAACATGGAAAACCGTAAGCTATTTTCAAGTGCCAAATTAGATCTGAAATACTTTTTTCTGCTTATAATGCACAGAAATATGGAATATTATAGGGAAACACACACAAAGACTAATTAAAATAGGTTTTGGTGCACATAACTAATTCCATTCAATATAAAAGATTCAATGCCTTTGGTGGCCATCAGAAAATGATGACCACCAAAGATAACTGCTATCTTTAAGGAGGAGTATAAATATAAATTATTAGTTATATGTAAAATTCAGCTATCCAGAAAAATTCATTCTTCAAGGAATAATATGAAACTAGTTTTTATTTTATGCTCTCTACAATCAGAATATCTTATTTCCAGAGAAATATTTATTTTTTGACTATGATCTAATGATCAAATAGCTAAGACTTTCTTTAGCCTGCATAACTAAGAGCTATATGAGAATGCTTTCCTATTTTTAGAAACTGAAAGTTTATTTTCTAAAAAAAAAAAAAAAAAAAAGAATAAACTAGAAATAGCAAGACTTACAGAAATATAGGCCTTACTTAAATCAATCAATACTTCATAATTTTCCAGATGGCTGACCTTACCCTAAGAAATTATCTTTCAGACTCAGCCTAAGAAAATATCATTATT